GGCGGACGAAAAGGGGGAAGGAAAATGGTGATGAGCAGTACTATGACAATGATGACGGTCGTGATCACGATGGTGATGAACAAAATGCTGATGACGATAATGATGATGATGATGACGGCGATGATGATGATGATGACGATGATGATGATGGGCATCATGGTGTTGGTGGCGGCTGTGTTGATGCTCACGATGGCGGTGACAGCGGTTGTGATGATGGTGGCGATGATGGTGATGGTGGTGGTGATGGTGGTGATGATGCGAATGATGGTAATGATGCTGGGGGGAATACCAGTAGTGATGGTTGCGTTAATGATAACGATAATGATGATGACGATGATGGTAATGATGATGATGGTGATGATGATGCGAATGATGATGCGAATGAGAAAGATGATGGTGATGGTGTTGATGCTAATGTTGTGATGGTGATGATGATGACGATGGTGATGTTGAAGCTGCCTAGGATGGTGATGGCGCTGATCATGGGAATGCTGATGGTGGCGTTGATGCTGATGGTGGTGCCAATGATGATGCTGATGCTGACTCGGGTGACGATGATACTGGTGATGGTAATTGTGGTGATAATGATGCAAATGACGACGGCGACGATGGCGGTGATGATGATGCTGATGAAGAAAGAGACTGATGATGGTGATGGTGATGCTGGTGTTGATGATGGTGCTGGCGATAGTGACGCATGAATACATATATATAAATATATATATATATATATATATATTCATGCGTGTGCATGTTCCTCGAGAAGTTCGGCCCTGACCAGGGCTAGGAGCATTGAGACACGAGTGGTAACTGCACACGTTAGAAACGGTCACACGACAAGCACTGAAGCACTGAATTACCGTTCTCAAGTTATGTAGCCAAAGCTCATTCTGCCGGGCAACTAAGTTCCAGGGCTGGGGGAGGCGAGGACAACGAGATAGGAAGTATTCCCAACTCCTGGACCGAAGCTCACGCGCGTGGCACTGACTCCCGCGACCGCCGAAAGTTTACTCCTGACGGCGGAGGAACCTGGCCTCGCGAAAATGGAGGGTCTGTGGGCTGAGACGAACGGGATTTCTCACACTCAGAAATTCAAGATGACATGCCTAACGATACTGCATCCGCACTGCATACGCATCCCCATCAAGAATACCGAGCATTTCTCTGACCGTATTAACAGGTTCGCAAGTGCGAACCATGAACATACCTAGACGACAACCCTTCGGGTGATAAGGAGGTTTGGGGGGGAAAGAAAACCCACTCACAGCAACTGCGATGACTGCGAAGGCGATGAAATGGCGACAGTGCACCATGACGCTCATGGTAAGAATGAATCATGGTGTTTGCAACGAAGTCGACACAGCCGCGATGGAGCTCACAACACAGAAGTGCGACCTCGCATTCGACTCCAATCGACTAATCACACTACCAGTTGCACCATCGATATCATGATCGATCTCAGTATCGGTTTCACAATTAATATCACTATCGATCGGAATACCGGTCTCACAATATGTAGATCTCACCCTCAATCTCACGATCGACCTCTCAGCCCACTGAAGATCTCACACCGAGCGTTCACTACGATCGGGACACCAGCGGGGCGATACCGGGACATCATCGGAGCACTATCGATATCACTATCGATATCACAACAGATCTCACTATCGATACCACTGTCGATCTCACACCAATTCCCACGATCGATCTCGAAACGAACTTCACGATCGATCTCACCAACGATCTCACGATCGCCCTCGGCATCGATCGCACTACCGATCTCGGCATCGATATCACTATCGATCGCAATATCGATGTCACAAGGGATTCCAAGGGATTTTACGAGGCACCATCGGGACACCACGACGGAGCACCCCCACCCACGGCGGGGCACCCCCCGCCGAAGATCTGTTGTGATCGATCTCTCCATCTCACGACCCGCCTCACGATCACGATCGATCACGCAATCGATCTCCCCATCGATCTCACAACTGATCTCACGAGCCGAGACTCCCGTCCACAGCGTGGGATGCGTCGGCAGGAAAGGCTCCGCCTTCCCAGGGCCTGCGAGCGCGGCACCTGAACACTGGGCAACGACGGCGCAGGACCGCGAACTGCCGCCCTGCTGCCCCACCTGCATGGAAATGCCCGGTAGCATCTCAGGCGCTGACCGAAAAGGAACCCCTGGTCCGACTCACAAGCCTCGAGCTTCGCCGCAGAGCTGGCGTACCCGCCTCCCCTCAGCCTACAGGGCAGTTTTTAACACATAGGATGTTTAAAAACATAGGATTTTTAATACATGACTAATGTATGAACAAATTTATGCATGAACGCATCGTTGTTTTTTATACTAGATCCCTGCATTTCTAATACATGGTCCGCACGCGGAGCATGTATTACAAACGGCACTGTACTCCGCCGAGTCGGACAAGGAGGTCCTGCCAGACCTGCCGTTCACGCTCCGCCCTCGGAGGCCCCTGCGTGACAGGGGCGGTCCCCCCGAACCCCCTCTGGTCGGCGCACTGCAGGCCGCGCCACCGAAGATGGCGTCCTCGCGGTGGCACGCTCCCAGCGCGGGAACCTCTTCACGACGTCGCTCTCCTCCTCCTCCTCCTCCTCCTCCTCCTCCTCCTCCTCCTCCTCCTCCTCCTCCTCCTCGCTCCTCCTCCTCCTCCTCCTCCTCGCTCCTCCTCCTCCTCCTCCTCCTCCTCCTCCTCCTCCTCCTCGCTCCTGGCTCCTGGCTCCTCCTCCTCCTCTTCACGACGACGCTCTCCTCCACGTCACCCCGGAGGGGCGGCCTTCCCTGCAGCCGCACGACGGCCGCCGCGGCGCCGCGCGGGAGAGCATCGCCGGGGGCGGCCGGAGCAGCGGCCCCAGCAGCAGCAGCAGCACAGGGATCGGCACGACGCCCCTGACCTGCTGCTGCTTCTGGAGGTTGGCCTTGCGCAACTCGGCACGCTCCGCCTCCTTGGCCGCCGCGCGGGGGTCGGCGGCGGGCGGAATCGGGTGAGGCAGGCTGCCCCTCGTCTGCACCTTCCACGAAGGACTGCTTGCGACGGAGGCTTCCCGTCATTGCTGCAGCCGTTGTTGCCGACCCTGTGTTTCTTGGATACTCCAGATTTCGTAATAAAAGGGAGGGGGTCTGGACCCTCCAAGACAAGCCATTTCAGACCTCCCCCGTGGGAGAACCCTCCAAAACATCGTCCCCAGACCCCCCCAGGCCCTCCAAGATAGTCTGGAAGAGACCCCCCCCCCGAAATGAGACCCCCCTCCCTTTATTACGAAATCTGGAGTAGGCTGCGCATGCTCGCCGCCCGCCGCCTGCTATCCTGCATCTCCTCCTTCTCGGCCTGCAAGACCTGCCCCAGCTCGTGCACATCCTCCTGGAACGTCTTGCCGGCCTGTTGTCCTGCTCCTCGTTGCCGTCGATGCTCTCAGCCGACCCGACCAAATCGATCTCGAACACGAACTTCTTCCCGCTCGGTACCTCCACGACCGCGACCCCCATTGATGTGTTGTAGCGCGGCGACGCCCCGCGCTCGGCCTCATCCGAATCGTACGAGGCCGCCACCGCATCGCTGTACTGCTGCCGTGGCGAGGACGGTTGCTTCTCCATCTGCTGCCGCTTGACGTGCGCCTCCTGACGGGTTTGCGTGCTACTGATGAGGCGGCACCTGGTTCTGCAGCTGTGGGGTCGCTGCTTGCTCTACTCGGCGACACATCTGATCCGCCTCCTGCTCTGGCAGCAGGGCCTTGAGCGCAGCCAGCAGTCCAAGCAACTCTCTTGTCCCTGTCGTCTCCTTGGCTGTCTTTTTGGCGCCATCGCCACGTTCACTCGCCCGACTCCACGGTGGCGTTGACCAGAACGGCTCCAGCCATACACCATACACACACACACACACACACACACACACACACACACACACACGCACGCACACACACACACACACACACACACACACACACACACACACACACACACACACACACACACACACGCACACACACACACACACACAACACACCGCACTGACAGTGTCCTCCCTGATTTGACAGCCTCCACTTGTACACCCACGCCTGAAAACCATGCCAGACTGTGAACGGCTTGGTCTTAGGCATCCGCCCCTTCTGCAAGAATCTCGCTGGCCTGTCCAACCCAGAAACTCTCAATGCTCCAGATGCGATGGGACCTGGACCCAAACAGTCTTGAGCTGGACTTCGGAGGAGGAGGAAAGAAAGGAGGAGGGAGGAAAAAGTAAGGGAAGAGGAGGAGGAGGAGCAGGAGGAAGAGGAGAGGGAGGAGGAAGAGGAGAAGGAGGAGAAAGAGGAGGAGAAGGGGAGAGGATGAAAGAGAGGGTGAGGGAAGAAGAAGATGTGAAGGAGGCGGTGGAAGAAGGAAGAGCAGGCGAAGGAAGTGAAGAATGACGAGGAGGAGATGGGTGAGGAGAGGGATGAGCAGGACAAGGATGACGAGGAGGGGATTCTACGCAAGCCTGCTGCGACGACGACGACGACGACGAACACGACGGCGACGAAGACGACCACCACCACTGCGACCACGATTACGACCACGACGACAACGACCACAACCATGACCACGACCACCACCACGGCCACGACGGCGACCGCCACCGGCACCGCCGCGAGACGGGCGGCATCGAGAGCCGCCTCGAAAACGCGCCAGATCTCTGGCCAGCTCGGTCTGGGAGGGCCCCCGGGCCCCCGGGCCGGGCGGCGACGCCCGGCGAGAACAAGTGGAGACGCCGGGGCGTCCCTTCCCTCCTCCCTCCCTCCCTCCCTCCTTCCTCCCTCTCCCTCTCTTGCTTGCGCCGCCGCCTCGGTTTGAGGTTTTTTGCGTCGTCGTCGTCGTCGTCGTCGTCGTCGTCGTCGTCGTCCAACGCTGCCCCCCCCTCGCCGCGGCGACGGCAACACCGACGCGGCGGCGGCGGGCGGCGGGCGGCGGCGGCGCCGACGCGGCGGGCGGCGGGCGGCGGGCGGCGGGCGGCGAGCGGCGGCGAGCGGCGGCGAGCGGCGGCAAGAAGCGTCTGCGCCTCCACGCGCCGCTGGCGGGCGGCGGCGCGCTCCCGCTGGCGCTCCACCGCGGAGGCGGCGCTCCGCTCCCGCTCGGCAGACTCCTCCGCCTCCACGGGGGGGGGCGGCGACGGACGACGGACGACGGACGACGGACGACGGACGACGGACGACGAACGAACGAAGGAACGACGGACGACGACGAACGACGGACGAACGACGGACGACGGCGACGGCGACGGCGACGGCGACGGCGACGACGACGACGACGACGACGACGACGACGACGGCGACGACGACGACGACGACGGCGACGACGACGACGGCGGCGGCGGCGGCGGCGGCGGCGGCGGCAGCGCCGACGGCGAAAGGCGACGGCGACGGCAAAGGCGAAAGCAAAGGCGGCGGCGGCAGCAGCGACGGCGACAGCGGCGACGACGACGGCCCGCGGCGGGCTGGCGGTGTAATGAGGGGCAACAGGCTGCGTGCGATCTGTGGAGCTGAACGGGGGGGGATTTGCCCTGCGAAAGACCCAAACATATGCAGTTGTGAATAACGCTGTTGTGAGTCTTATCTTCGATGGAGCTCCCTATGGGGCCGCGAAACGTGTCAGGAATGTACCGAGATGGGCGCGGTGAGCGCATGCGACCGCAGCCACTGGGGTCTTCGGTAGAGTTCCCTATGGGGCTACGAATCGTGTGAGGAATGTACCGAAATGGGCGCGGTGAGCGCATGCAAACACTGCCACTGGGGCCTTCGGTGGGGCTCCCTGTGGGGCCGCGAAACGTGTGAGTGATGTACCGTAATGGGCGGGGTGGACGCATGCGAACACCGCCATTGGAGCCTTCGGTGGCCCCTATGGGTCCACGAACCGTGTGAGTGGAGTGCCGAAAATTACTAGGGCGAACGCATGCGAACGCAGCCACTGGGGCCTTCGGTGGCGTTCCCAATATGGACCGTGTAAGGGGTGTGCCGAAATACGCAGGGCTGGCGCCTGCGAACACCGCCACTGCCGCCTTCGGTGAAGCTCCCCTTGGGTGCGGGCAATATTCATATCCATATCCAGGGCGTCTTGGACTTTCGTGGAAGGGGCGCCGCAAGGCCGAGGCACACTGGGTATGGATAAAATTCGAGCCTCTAGT